GCGGGTCACGGGAATAGCATAGGAATCGTATATAGCGTTCAACCTACACGACTTATCAGTTTTGGCTTTAAAAAAGAAAACACCATTCAAATTTTAAAGTTTTTAATCAATATCAAAATGTATAATTTTCTAGTGTAATCATGCATAGCAACTACAAATTATTTCTATAACATGTTTATCTTTATTCAATAAATTTCTTAGAATTATATTCCCAACTGATGAATTGATTTTTAAAAGAAAACATTTTGATTAATTTCTAGATCACACAATATACCCATTTCATTTAAGTGTAGTCAATACATATTCATCTCTATTGTTAATACTTTTAAAAAGAAATAGTTAGTTATAATCCATGTTGATGAAATCGAAATTGCATACTGAATTTCATCGGTTAACTCCACCTGAAGCCCTTCTTGAGATACTGTCGAGTTAGGCATGGGGTTAGCGATTTCATCTCGGAGAAAACTAACTGGTTAAAAATAAAACGCTAACCAGAAAAATTAATTCAAAAATTAAAAGTTCCATTGGTTATAAACTAAGTTTATTGATATTTATTTGTTTATATTTAATTTCAAACCTATAGGAGTTGAGTTTATTCTCTATTCATGATAAAGTTGAATGTTTATTGGGTATTTTCATAAATTAATTCAAGTTGACATTTTCTATCGTTAAGTTTTATTTCAGTAGTCAATAGGTGTCTCTTCATGAAAAATATTCTTGTTTAGTTATTATTCTTTTTTTTTTGGTGTCTATTTTACCGTTTGTTACTTACGCTTATTAATTTTAAATGATTAGATAGTAATTAAAGAGAAAGTGTGTCTTTGTAAAATCTCACTGATTGAATTTGAAGTAAATCCAATGTTTTGCCTGGCAATTTGGTCTAAGCTTTTTTTAAAGAGAAATTATTGAAGAAAATGTACAACTGGTATAACCACCAAATTTTCGATTAAATTGTAATTTAATCCTTGTAATACTGATTTGAATGAATATAAATTTCACTTTGGATAAATGTGAAACAATGTCACTGCATACACCTGGATTAGATTGATGGTAATATAAATTAAATAATGATAATAATAATAATATTTATTGTAAACAAATAACTTTAAAGGTGTCTACATAGTATTCATAATTTGTAAGGAATGGTGCTAATGCACTATGGAGATTAAAAATTATAATATCTATCTATCTGTCTATCTATGTATAATATATTGTAAATAGTTTAGTATATTAGGATTACTGTGATTAATTAATATCACCGTGATTTAATGAATAGTTCAGAACGAAAGAAAAAAACCCATATTTAACTGTAAGCTAATTGAAATAAGTAACATGAGTAGTATTTAAAGTGTAATTCAAACATTGCTGTACTGCAAAATTAATCTACAGTCTTATTCAATTATTCCATATTATTATATTAATAGTGGTATAATTGTAATTGAGTGATTATGAATAGACCCTCGATATTGTTACCCTTGATAAAGTAATTTAATCAACCTATTTTGGATCACTTATGTATATATATAATCTAATTAAACTTGTAATCATTATTATTTTAAAAGATTGTAATTCCAAGAAATGTTTCAGTATTACTTTGAAACTAAATTAACAATTGAGTTTAAGCACCATATATAGGTGGTCGACATCGATTTATTTCTACAGACTTTAATTTTTGTTTCTGAGTGTCATCAAGTGGTCAACTTACGTATATATACACAACCTTTCAAGGTAAGTTACTGATTTTCTATTTCAGTATGCTTATACTTATATAATGTTGAAACTAATAGTTGAATACTTTAAATGATTTAATTAGTTGTTCAGTTAAAAATTCATTTACTTTAGTAGTTAATAATATTCAATATATTATGATGTACAATATATTTATCATCTGGTTACTATGACTACAAATTAAAAAACAGGAGACACTAGATTGTTTGAACTTACCCATTACAAACATAGTTATAATGTCTTCATGTAGAAATTGCAGAATACGGTTAATAATTTTATTAAGTACATATTAATGATATTCTCATACATAAAGTCTTCAGAATTTCGAATATAATAAACTAAACATAAATGAAAGATCTTTACTTGGTCAATCAAATGTTTAGCAACGTATCACTATAGAAAAACAGTTTTTTTTTAAATATAGAAAAGTAAATTTCAAAATATATCATTCCTAAATAAACAAATCTCATTATTTATGAACTTCAAGGATTCAAATATAGAAACCTTTTGGCAATCTTGTTTTGACAAATAGATATTTTCCATGTTATTTTCAGCTTGATTATTTGAGTAGAAACTTGAATAACTTAAGTAGATATTATCACTCTTGTTTAAATCCGATGGTTTCAAACTGATATTTTATGCAGAATAAGAGTAAATTAGTCTAGATACTATGAAAGTTAGTCATTTATTTGTAAATATTAATTGGCAGAGTTAATTACCAATTATCTATATAGGGTTGTGGGAATTCTTGAGTTTTTATTGAGTACATAAACTGATCAATATTAGACCATCATTGAAAATCTAGAAATATTGGGCTATCATTTCGATCTAGTATAGGACTCCTCGGCAGTGCGCATCCATGATTCTAAAAACCAAAAGTCTTGGATTCGATTCAGGCATACAGGATTCATGATAAAGGATCATATGACATGGTTAGTCTATGTCGCCTAAAAGAAGTTGGAGAAACAATCAATTCATCTGAAGTTGAAAAGGGCTCCGAATTATCTTTTACGAATTTTTGTATACAATAAAATTGTTGCATACGACTGTATTAAAAGGATTCCAGTTGTTACGTAAATAGGTCTGTTCATAGCCTGTTCATTTCTACCTAGAATCAATTGTCGAATTCATGAAATAATCAAAACATTTTAGTGTCTCGGTATTGAACTTAATTTTCTGTAATTCTAGGAAAAAAGTGCCAATTGAGTCACTGAAAGATTGGCGATCTTTATAAGTTATCTTACAGAAATATAGTGTTTTAAGTTTTTGAAAAACTTCATGAAGCTTACTAATAGTTACATATATGTTTGTTTGCAGTTGTTAATCTATTATTTTCCCAATAAATGTTTATAGAAGAAATTAGTTTATTATATTTTCATTCAATATACTTTATACTTAAATGTTTAACGATGAACTAATTTTTATCTAATAACTACTTTTAATTATTACTAGCACTAGTGAATTATTTTCATTTTAAACATTCCCTCAAATGCCTTGGTACGACTAAGAGTGGGGAGAGTCCACTCTCTTTCTCGAAATGCTCTCATATGACCACGTAAATACAGCCACTGTCAAGGAAGTCGTACTCGCTGTCTTCTCGCGGAAGGTCTGTTGTTAACGAAATTGAGAAGGACGAAAAGAGAATATCCGGTGCTTTAACGGGTTGGTGGATACGGTGAGTGCAGCTAGGGGAATCGGGAATCCCTGATTCCAAACCAATGATGCATATGGACTCCAGTATCCTGAAGGAACAAGTAGCGTATGAACCAATTATTGGTCATCGGCTAACATGGGACTGCATCTCCTCACGTTGCTCCACTCTCTTGTAAGTGAGACCTTTAGGTCAAATACTCCGGATGTGGCCCCTAAGAGAACCATCTGCTTCAATTTGAGCGTCATGGCAGTATCATAAACCACACAGAAATCAAATGATTTATGTGGCGCATATGTATTCGGTGCCTCTTTGTACTAATATTTATATACTGAAATAAATAAGTAATAAAAATGACTTAAATATTATCCTTTCTTTTAGTCCAATGGTTGGTAGCATTTCACTTACTAAAACATATTCAGTAATACATTCTCTGTATGATTTAATGAACAAATATATGTGAATTCATGGAAATAGAGCATCCTTCCTTTTTCTAATAACACAATACAGATTTTATGATAGATTAATATAATTTAGAGAATCATTGGAAATCTGAGAGTATTGTAGTGAATGAGAAGACAAGTGGGGACAATCGAATATACTTCAACAGAAAATTACAGTATGTGTTAGTAAAATCTGAGAACAACAGAGTAAATATTTCATTTGCAAAGTGTCAATCAATCGTCTGAGAACTGATTGTTTCTTCATTTCCACATCAATCATTGTCTGCTCTCGTTGTGTTTTCTTTGATATTGATAAGTTTCTGCCACCAGACATCTGACTTTCGATTGATGATATATACTACTTATATCTGCTGATATCAGTAGCACATACCACAGTATTAATTAGATCTTTCTAATTATCCAAATTTAGACTATATAAACAGTGTACAATGAATATTGAATTATAGATTATCAAGCTTCAATAGTAGTAATATATTCTTAAACATATATTCAAAAATTCAATCACTTTCATCCCATACTTCTAGGCAATTTGCATTACATGAGATTATTTCAAATATCTTTTATTTTTTAAATTTCTTCTTCATCCAATGCTTCCAGATTATCCATGATGGTCTAGCTTCAATTGATTCATGAATTCAATTATCAAAATCACAATGAAGTTTATTGAATAGAGAAAAGTACTTTTTTCTTTCTTCTCTTTTTTCCTCTCTCTTTCTCCCATTGAAACAGAATTTATTCTACATATTAAACATTTACATTAATGATTCATTTAACTAACGAAAGAAACACAAAAGATTAATTGAAGTTATTACTATTATTATTAATCATAATTTATATGGTTATTTAATCTTAGTTTAATTATTTAATTAAATTAACTTTATATAAATTACATATTCATACATGAAATTGATTTAAGTAGTTTAAATATATCATTTAAGTAGTTTATCAATTTGATCATGTGAATGCATTAAACTATAAACATACTTCTTTTCTTTCTATCATTCTTTTTTATTTTATTTTCTTTTTTTGCTAATTAATTCATTGTTTTATTTATATTTATAGACTAAATGTTCCATTAATAAAATACATAATTAATATATAAATTTATAACGAAACGATTCAAAAAAACAATATCAAAGGTCAACATCAAATAGAAAATGTCTACTGGTTATATACTACTGACAGTAAGTTCATTTTATTATTTAGTAATAAATTTTTTTGAAAAAGTTTAATTAATTTTTAATATTTTGCATTGAAAATATTTCATTCATTATTTATCTGTTCAATATAAAGCTTATTTGGTTTCATTTCATGTTAAACTTCACTTTTTACATTCTCTCGTTTGTTTCTTATAACTAAGAAATTAATCTAAAATAATTATCAGAATGGGTTTTGTGGAGATTTTTAGAAATTTCACTGGCGCAACTTTGTGGATTGGTTGAAGTTAGACATTAACACCGTTGGATGCTGGCTCAGTGATCTAGTTGGTTGAGCGCCAGGCGCGAGACTGATAGGTCCTGGATTCGAATCTCGCGGCGGGCGGAATCGTGGATGCACACTGCTGAGGAGTCTAATCTAAAATAAGCTTTCTTTAGGAGTTAAAATCCTAGATATGTCAATAAATGAAATTTGATTATGATCGAGTTTGATCTTGAAAGCTTATAGAAATAAACACTATGATTCAAAGAACTCGATTATATACAAATCGTTTTTCTAAGCTGAAAATTCCCAGGATTTTTAAAAATTTTACTAAGTAGATTAAATGTTTCATGTTCATTAAAAGACTTGAAGATCATTGGTTATATCCTATATGATATGGTTAGTACTCACTGTCTAGGCGAAGACGAGTATTCAATGGGTACTGGTTTTCGTTATCATCAAGCCGACTATAGTTTTTAACAAAAAGTACTTCTTAAATTCATCTTAAGATAGGTTACATTTCAGAGAACTAATTCAATTATTCCCTAATGATATTTGTTAAACTGTTTATAAAATAAACAATCCAATTTCGGACATTGAATTGTATGTAATAAAATAAAATATTTAGTAACATAATCAGTTATTTCAATAGTTACTTTTGTTCAAATTACAAGTAACAAAAAAGAGATCCACTGGAGTTGATAGAAAATCCATAAGTCATTTAGGTGTTTTGGTAAGTAGTACATAATTAAGTTACTTGATGTTATTACAGTGATTAATAATAAACATATTTCTGTTATATCTTAATGAGCAGGAAAATTGTAGTGTTTCGTGACTTAATGTAGGCCACTTCTTCAGAGTAACTGAGTGTCGTACTATATATTTACTCCAAAGAAGTAGCTTACATTAAGTTATGAAATATCAGAAATACAATTTTTCGACTCATTGAGATATAACAAAAATATATTCATTATTAACTCTCTACCCAATGTTTAATTTATTTGAAACCATCAAGTCCAACCTCGGTATTGATATGAATGATGGTAATTATTCTCTAGTACATAACTTATTAATAAAAAGTGTCCGGATCCATCCGTTAGTAACTCGATATAATTTTGACTAAGTTAATTATGTGTAACAAAATGTATCTCTGTATACATATATTAGTTAGTGTTAGGTTCCGAGAACAATAATGAATGGTAACTTTTGGGATTCATTTATGGACAAATACTATACGTATATATTTTGTCGTATAATTGTTAAATGACTAAACTATTCATATTCATATTCCTCTTATTATAATCTTTGTTTTGACCTATGAACCGTTATTATACGTTTCACCATTTTTGAATTATGCCCTGTCTATTAGTCACTGCTTCCTACATTCACAGCCACATTTGGCGGAATTTTGTACAAATGTTATTTTCTATTTCATGCTACGTTGTGATCTGTCTGGTTGATTTATAAACCCAGTATGTCTGAAATGAATGATTCATATTGCAGAGGCTGAGTCTGGTGTTCTGGATCTAACTACTAAGAAGTCCCATACTAGGACGAAATAGCCGTCCAGTGTTTCTAGGTTTTCCATAGTGGTCTAGCTTCAATTGACTCATGAATTCAACGACTAAATTTAACAATAATTAAGAATTTCTATATTCATGCTGATTTTAATTCAACTAATATTTAAAAAATCACTGTTTGATTTAAACCAACTATTTCTCAACATTCTTTTTACATTGTCTACTTCAAAAAAGTTGTTTTTTAAGCCCTATATCTTTTTAAAGTGATTGATTATCTTATCGTGGATTGTAATTTATTTTAATAATGAAACTATTTACATCTGTAGATTATGATATAGTGGTATTTCTATATCAATAAAATTCATAATTTAAATACAATCTACAAACTGCTTAAGTCTAGACTTCCTTATTAAATTATAAACAACTTCATAATAATTCACTTGGCATGGCTTACTTGAATATTCACATTGATGTTTAGAACTGCAATCGATCAGTCTCTTATTGAAATATGTGCATCCTGTACATACTGCCTTAGTTCACAAGCATTCTAAGGAAAGATGGCTAGTGGCTAGCAGTGGAATCCAAGACGCGAATTTCGTCCTATTTAGGACTCATTAGTTAAATGCACCTGAATCTCAGATTTGATGTTCACTCTGAGACTGAGCGGCGAACTGGATACCTCGATGGCATTCGAAGCAAACGGCACTGGGTTCAAGTAGCAGAATGAACACTTACTCTGAACTGTAGGTACATCTAGCTGACGAGTCTCAAATAGGACGAAACGTGCGTCTTGTTTTTCACTGTTAGACACTATCTATCTTTGCTTATAACTTCATAGTAATATTAATAGTAAATACAAGAACAGACAAGTACACTTTGAAGAATTGATTATTGTCAAATAGAGATGAATTTAATGTCTTTAATTTTCAATCCAAATTATTCATCATTCATAACTCAGTGATATATGTGTTTTTAATAAGAAATTTTCATCTTAATTTAGATAGTCTCGTTAATTGATAGATTGAATGATTATTGATGAGTTAATAGTATTTTACTTTGGAATTCTTAAATGTTACTATCATGTATCCTTATGAATAAAAGAAAGAATATATTTTCGGTGTTTATTAACTGTGATTGTTTTAAATTCCACATAGTGATAAGATCATAATCACTGGTAGTATGACTGACTAGTTAAATTGATAAATCTTCTTTCAATTAAACATATTTTCGCTTCTTTATTTCTTTGAAGAGAAAAAGTGTATTCAAATCTTTATGATTGTTTGTAATCACAATTTGTATACGTAACTTAATTTCGAAGTTAATCTGTAATAGTATCATTAAAGTTTATTCTATAAAGGGGATATAATGGATCTATATAAAGTATTGTTAATGTGAAAATCAGTTAGAAATTTCAATGGTAAATGATATTAGTGCTAAGATGAACTAAGTTAAATGAAAGATAATTTATTATTCATTAACTATTCAATATACATGGTGTTTATTGTTGTTGTTGGATTTTTATTGAGAGAACTACAAGAAACTATAGAGGGATGAACGGTTGTTTTTATCATAGGCTTCTTATTTGAGGATACCTGTAATTACGTATGTAATCGAAATTAGGGTGTTATGTTCCAGTCACGAATTTAAATAACCAATAAACAGCAAAGACGAGAAAATTGATACTCTGTGCATAATGGCTGACTCAATACTAACTAGCTCCGAACGAAGATGATGAACACAAGACTAATGATCACCAGTTCAAGTTTGTAATTATATTTCAGACAGAAGTAGTTGATATACTAGTTGACCAGACTGAATCACATCATGAAATAAAAAAATAGCAATTATATGCGATCAAGCTGAAAATTGGCTGAGAGTAGGGGAAACTATGAATAACAGATTGGAAATAAATTAATAATAGTAAATTGTATGACAATACTTGATGGGTTAATTGAATGCTTATGACAAAAGGAATATATCTATAGATGGTGGAGAAGATTTGTAGCTCAGGTGGATGATTTTGGTGGGGTTTTGTTCTCTGAGCTGAATGTTTTGGTCGTGGAGCTTTCATCGTTCTTCTGAACGACATCATCAGCACAAACTTCAGATAGACTTCTATCTGACGATGAAAGCTCCACGACCAAGCCATCCAGCTTAGAGAACAAAACTCCACCGGAATATATCTATAATAATCTAGTTGCTTATACAATAAGAATATATATGTAGTAATAGTCCATAAATTAGTCCTAGGAGTTACCATTACTTTAGTCTCCGTTCAGATATAACACATGGACTTTAAGTTCTTAATGAGCACGGTACCGATCACATGCTTAGTGTTGGCGTTCAGTTGTCTACTCTTTCACAATATAACACGATTACTACTCATCATCCAATTTACCCATTGATAACTGGATAATTAGTGAGTGAATTAGAATTTCTAGATAAAAATTGTCATTTCGAAAAAGAAATATAAACTCAGGGGAAGTAAGGAACACATACTCTGAAAATTAGTTAGCTTACTTGTAGTTCGTGCTCTTGTATATAATTAAGTAGTAAACTCTGGTAAGGTTAGAAATAGTTTATGATAGGAACGTATTATGGTAGAAAACAAATTGGTTATGATACATAATACAAAAGTATTTATAACAAATTTTACTTGTTGGTTAGAAAGAGTATTCATCAGTATTGGATTTTGTAATACTCCATGATGGAAATCCTTTTGTCTTCAAACAACCTTTGAAACTGGCTTTGTTGTAATTCACAAACAATGACACAAGATTATTTACATTGAGAATGTGATAGTTTTGGAAGCTGATTCTTTAAGAGAACAATTCAGTAAAGCTCAGTCTTACTATCAGGTTAACATTAATTCTTTGATATTGGTGTGAAGAATAATTTCCAATTAATAGCTAATTAAAGATGAGTCAGTCAATCAATGAGGTTCCAAGATATTTAAGTTTATTATCAGCTGTTACTCAGATTTGTTGTTAGATGTTAAGAGGGACTGAATTCTTAGGTTTTTCTAACAAATCAAGGGATCAAGCTGTAAGAAGTAGTTGACAAAGTTAACATAAATCTACAGGTGTTTAGTGAAGTGATAAGCTTTATTTACTAAAATAAGACATCAGGAATTTTATTGAACTTATGATTTCTGCACGAATTGCTACTTATAGATAATTCACATTGAATTCGAGCCTTCAAACTAGAGATCAAATGTACAGAAAAAAAACTGAAAAGTGTCCGAGGAACCGTTGCTATAGTAACTATGATTAAAACAGGTTGATACACATAAAGTCTACTCATGTAAGATGAAGATATAAAACGTTACTGTTTCTTTAATGAATAAGTTTCAAATTAAATTGCTTATTTTGTCTATGATTTCAAGTATTAACATTTTCAACTAAATAATACGAAAATATGTGCTTCACAAATAACATAACTATAAAAATCATTTTCTAAGACAATATTTCCACTCAAATGTATTCATTCCTTACAAAAGGTTTATTGTAGGGTGATATCAGTTGAAAAACTATTTAAATGTATGCGGGATTAAACGTGCATTTTATGATACTTTGAAAATCCTTAGCGTTGTACATTTGTGACCACACACGTAGTGAAATCCAGGACCTCTCAATTTAACAATCAGCATGAAATTTTCATAAATATGCATCTCTCATATGAATTAAACAATCAGACTACTTTCTTTTTCAAAAACAAAATGTTTTAAAAAGTATCACTTATTGTTTAAAATTGCCAACAATTTAGTCACTATGGGATATTTAGCAACATACAGGTCATTGTTATTTATTCAGTTTCTTATTTAATCACTTCTCATTAGTATTAAATACAATCTAGGTGTTCTTAAATGTAGAGCGATTTCAATTTGTAGTTGTATATATGATAATAGAATAATTTACTTAGTTGAATTTAGATCTCACATGTTGACCGAACTTCAATCGATAAGAATATCTTAATTAATCTCTATATTATGGTCACATGAATAGATAATGGAATTCGTAACAAGTTCTAGTGTTTTTGTTTTCAATTTGTTATCATTTATAATACAAACTATACACTTAATTTAATGATAAATGAAAAGAAGAAGAAGAAGAAGAAGACTAAAATAGATCCAATTCCATTGAATTCAAATAAAAGTAAGCACTGTAAACACTATAAAAGATTCATTTGAATGCATTCCTATCATATAACTGTTTTGTAATAGTTCGAACATTGTAAACTAATTAATTGATTGTATTGAATATTATTTCATACACTTGTGTTGTTCCTTTGTACTATATAAACTTGGATTAATTTTGATTTGATTTTGTATTCTCTGAAGAAATGGCTTATAATGAGTTACGAAACATCAGAAACTTTAATTTTTCTACTCATTAGGATATTACAAATATAGTGATTTTGTTAATAACAATTTATTCAATGCTTAATTTATTTAAAATTATCAAGTCAAACCATGGTAATGATACCTACTTAATAAGTTTTCAATCATCAAAACAGATTTACTTAATTAGGAAGAATGTATTTGTAAAATCTCAGCGAAAGAATTTGAAGTGAATCCAACGTTTCATCTGGCATTTCGGTCCAAGATTGGACCTCTTTATTGTTAATGTTTGTTTGTATAGAATAAGAAAACACAATGGAAGATGAGTTTGTAGGTGTTTTTATCAAGGTTTGAGTTGACAATTTTGAACAAATTAAGCACTGAGTAGATTTTTATTGCCCAATGAGTAGAAAAATCAAATTTTCCGATGTTTCGTGATTCAATATAAGTCACTTCTTCAGAGAATAGTATGAGACTCCCCAGCAATGGGTATCCATGAACTCGCCTCATGAAATTCAGACTCGTATTGTATGATCAGATTGTTCGAAATGTATTGCGCAAATATATCACATAATTCTGATAACCTTTGTTTTCTTATTGCCTTATCGAAATTTATCAAAGGGACTAATTGTTTTAAATAGATGAATTTCACAACATGTAACTAACCAACTGAAGTTGGAAATATGGATCACTCATTTGCGAGTTATTGTTCTAGAGGTTACACACCTACTATGAGATTCGAATTTTTTAAGTCCCATTTTTTGTAGGGAGTCCCATACTAAGACTGGAAATCTGTGCAATGCATCCTTGTTTTATAGGTTGTCTAGCTGTAGACAGTCCATGATGTTAAGACCACAAAACACATGATCCAGTTTCGAAAAAAATTATCGAATAAAGAGAATGAAAAGTATGAGATAATTCTAAACTTAACCATTTAAGTGAAATTAAAGAATAAGTACATCCTTGCTTTTGTGACTGACTTTAAGCCAATTCAATTCTAATAGATTACGATTATCAAATGAACTTCAATTAGGAGATATTCTCCTCAATCAATTACAATGAGTTAATGCTGTACCATAATCTAATGGCATCACGCTTGTGTACTTGTCATAAAATTATCTATTTCATACATAGTCTTATTAAGATGTTAACAATAATAATTATCATGACATTTTAGTAATCTAAATTTATTGAAATTTTATCAAATTTTAATGCCTTTTTGTTTATTCATTCCTTTGATTAATTAATTATTTACACCTGTTACTCTCAGTGGAGCGTAGCCCGCTGACCACCATGCCACCATCCACTCTGTCCTGAGCCTCCCTTTCTAGTTTTATACAATTCATGTTCATTCTTCTCATGTCTCTCTCCATTTCCCGGCATAATGTGTTCTATGGTCTTCCTCTTATCCTCATTTGGCTTTCAGGATTCCAAGTGGGGGCTTGCCTTGTGATGCAGTCGAGTGCTTACCTCAATGTGTGTCCTATCCACTTCCAGCACTTCTTCCTACTTTCTTCCTCCGCTGGCATGTAGTTTGTTCTCTCCCATAGTAGGTTGTTGCTGATAGTGTTGACCAACGGATCAGATGTATTTTGCTTAGACAACTGTTAATAAACACTTGTACCTTCTCAACGATTGCTCTCGTAGTTCCCCAAGATTCCGCCCCATACAGTAGAACTGTCTTAACATTTGTATTGAAAATTCTAACTCTGGTGTTGGCAGTTGACAGTCGTTTTGAGTTGCAGATGTTCTTCAGTTGTAGATATGCTTCTCTTGCTTTGTCAATCTGCGCCTTCACATCTGCATCAGATCCACCATGTTCATCGATGACGCTGACCAGTTATGTGAAGGATTTTACATCCTACAAAGCTTTTCTGTCAAGTGTGATTTGATTGGTGCCTGTAATACTGTATGGGGGAATCTTGCTTTTCTTTTAGTTTATGTTGAGACCTACTGCTACTGAGTCTGCTGCTACACTGGTCGTCTTCTTCTGCATTTGTTGTTGCGTGTGCGGTAGAATAGTCAGATCATCTACGAAGTCTAGATTGTCCAGATTCACTCTAGCTTTCCACTGTATCCCATGCTTTCACCCAGGTGTTGACGTCTTTGCAATCCAGTCGATTCTCGGGAGAAGAAGAAAGGGTGAGAGTAAGCAACCTTGTCTGACACTGGTCTTTACTTCGAACGTATTCATTCGTTTACCTGTTATTACTGTTCTTCATTACATCTGAATATCAAGATATTAATTTTGGTTAATGAAATTCTTAGAATGGTGGCTAGCTAAGGGAAAAAAATAAATTATAGTAATAATAATAGTAATAATAATAATCCATTGTTTATTAAATCAAACAATACTGTAAGTAGGATACTTTAATGTAAATTCTAATGACTATTACTTTTATTACTATGTAACCCAGTAGAGAAAGTTTTGGTATTTATAGTAGGTAATTTCTGGCTTCAAATTTCAGTGAGCACGTAAAATAAAAAAAATCCATGGGCATTCACTTGATAAATTGTTCAATTTACATTTTATTGTTTCCCCTATTGGTATGTGGTGGTACTGTAAGTAAAATATGATTGATCACTGAGCGTGGACAAACAGGCATTCAATTTAATATCTATTAAATATGTAATTTCTTTTCCTCTTGTTGATTTGTGGTTTCGAACTCACTGAAAGTAATTGCTTGTAATTGTGTTGAATAAATTATTATCTAGCCTATATTCTGGTTCTTTATTCTGGATCGTGAAATCGTGGATCTGATATAACGTGACTAGTCTAATTATCGTATTCATAGTAAATATGAGAGAGAGAGAGGAAATATTCTAAACCATCCGTTATATCAACTATTAAACACATTTGTAAATAATTCTAACAGTAGAGTTAAATATTGGTGATTAACTTAATACAAAATGTGTTTTTTTTATATTAGGAAAAGTGTATAGAGGAACTTTGTATTCAACATACTTTATGGTTACATTAACATTATCTGTACATATAAATCAATCGTTTCTTCTTTGTTGTAGCATGTTCGAACAAGTAGTTGCATATCTTTATCTTCTTCTTATTATTATTTTTAGGATGATGCATACGGTCAAGATTTGTATATGTTAAATAGATGTTTAGATGATATTGAATGGTTTGAAAAGAATTTTAGAAAAAGTTTTAGATCTTCACCAGACGAACTTGACAATAAACAGAGTGAGTTTTATAACGAAAAAATGATTGATGAAATAGTCTCTTTTCTTTTCAACAACAACAACAACAACATTTTCATTTTAAATAGGCCAGTGTATAATGATTTCAATAAACATAATAGTTATCTTCATTGTAGAAACTACTTTAGATGAATCCATGTAAACTCTTTATTGAATTGTATTGTGTGAGCAGTTTTATTGTCAAAGCTTATTTTGTAACCTTATTATACTATTTGACCAAAAGACATAATCTATGAAGACTGATAAGTAATCAAGGTTTAATGTCTAACCTATGTTCTATGTTCATTCAAAAGCCTTGACCAGTGGAACTAATCCATATCAGGTAGAGACAGGTATCTATCTTAGTGCAATAAAAGATGATTGCGCAATTTCATTGATTAGTTAAAGTTAGGCATTAACACTATTGGGTACTAGCCCAGTAGCCTAGAAGTTAAGCGTTTGCGCCCGATAACAAAGGTCCTAGATTCGAATTACGTGCACTGCTCAGTTTTCTCTACTCGACATTGACTGTTACAGCCAAAATTAATTGTTTCTTTTTTTTTAAAAAAAAGAAAAAGAAAGTACATTTACACAAACATTGTATTAATCCAATGGTCGCTTACATTTAGCCATAAAACGTCGAAAAATATAATTTTTCTACTCAATGGATTAAAGATAGTTAGAATCATTAACTGAAAGGTTTGAAAGAAGATAGATAACACCACTCTGGTTCTAAATTTTCTATTGTTAGCCAATTATTGCTGAAAGAAGAAAGAAACCATAGTCCATAAGTACCTTATACTAATAACAATGATATATTCTCTAAGTGACTAATTTCTAGAGGTAATTCTTGGAGTTCTTGTCAGAAGTCGTTATTAGTTGAGCTCAGTCATGTGAGAAAAGAAATAGTTAGCCACCAGAAGCATTGAAAGATGGTTGCACAATCTTAAGTGTTGAGTGAACTTAGATATGTGAATCAGTGAATTTCAGTGCAATGATTTAATGATTTAACACTCACTCCAAGACCTGAAGTTCCTAAGTTCGATATGGAGTGGGGTCATGAATGAATCTTACTGAGGAGTTTTAAAATAGATGCCCAGTATTTCTTGGTTTCTCTATTTGTTTAACTAGGATCAGTCCGTGATGTAAACTATATAAAATCCTCATCATTATCATTGAGAAAACAGTCAATTTATCGTTTAGGATAAATATTTACACACTGAGAGGTTTGTTATTTACCAAGATTCTAAGAAGCTTAAGGATACAGAGCACAGATTTCTGAAATAGTGGTTCCCTATGAAGCTATTAAAGAAGATACTCAAATCACTCATAATTAATGCAAAAAGATTTCAAGAATATTTCATGCCTACTTGGAGTTCTGTATTTCTATAAAACGAATGCTATGAACTTCTAATTAAATTTTAGAGATAGTGACAGCGAACTTTAAATTTGACTTACCTATACTAAACAAATAAAAGTAGACTGCATTGCACTTCAATAGATTATTTATAATGCATCCTCTAACAACAATACCTGTAAAGACATCTAGGAGTATTATAGTTGTTTATTTCAAGAGAAATTTTAATAATGATTATCTTTCAAATTGAAAGAAACAAACAAATAGGGCTATACAGCAGTTGTACTACCCAAAACTCTATATTATGTATACATACATCTAGCACCTATACAATCACTTTTACCATATATAAAAGTAACAATATACAAATGATTCATCTAATAAGGTTTTTCTAGGTAATTCATTTTTTAGCATCGATGTCACCATTGAGCGCGTAGAAAATATTAATCGCAGTTCTCCGGCTTTAAAGGATTTTTGTATTGTCCTACGCAATCTCTGAGTTAATATTTCTTTAGCCATATCCCCTCTGAATTGTAGACGCATGAACAGAGATTTCTTCTTCACCGTTTGCATTCCACTTGTTTTTACCTTCGTGTTCATATATTTAGTTATAAACTTTCAAGGGTAACCGTTCTCCCTGAGAGTATTATGCAACGTGTTAAGTTCGTCTTCAGCTATATCAGCAGAACATATAATGCGTATTTGGTAACTAAGGGTTTTTATCAAGTTTCGTTTGTACTATAGAGGTACAAAGCTAAGGAAATGAGTATACTGCCCAGTCCATATATTTTTCTGGTTAAGTCCCTTTTTAACGATCCATCCGCTCTCGTAGTTAAGAGAACGTCCGAAAAGGCTATTCGACCATCACTCTCTTCTTCAGATGTAAACTGAATGGCTGGATGTACTTCATTAAATCGCCTAAGAACCTCTTGTTGTGACATATTATCTTTACGGAGGATGAACGTGTCATCCATATATCTACATTAAAATGTGAAGTTTTGAATAATTTTTTTAATGGATGATTGTCTAGTTTGGCTAGAAAAATATCAGCTAGTATAGGGCCCAGTGGTGAACCCATTGCAACACCATCTGTTTGTCTATATATTTCACTGTTGGACTTGAAATTCACATTCATGGTGCATTTGAGTAATAACTCTTTCACGACATTAGTAGGAACAGTATTTTCAATACCATTTTCAATCAGTTGTTCACCTATGTATTCCACAGTCTCTATGAGTGGGACGTTTGTGAATAACGACGTTACATCCAGTGACATCATCTTTAATCCCTACGTATTTGCATTTTTGATTTTGTCAGTAAATTGGAATACATCCTTAACACTATGCTTTACAAGCTTTTCATTGAGAGGTTTCAATACAGCTAACAACCATTTAGCTATAGTATGGTAAGGAGAATCGTACATATCTAGAATAGGTCTTGATGGGATCCAGGGTTTGTGTACCTTTGGCGATCCATATAATCTCTGCTCCTGTTCAGCGAGTCATATCAGTCAAAGTTCTAGGAATTTACGTTTTCGTGCTCGTGAACACCTCCTGGCGTGGCTAAACAAAGGTTTAATTGGATTTTATTGAAAGAATTTATACTCCGTCGCATTTAAATTCATGCTGTTTTGTCTTGAGCTAATTAAAAATTATGAACTTAATTTTGCAAAATTTTCTATTAACTTTCTTTCTTCATCAAATAATTCATTTTTTTTATTGAGATCATGAACCGATTTGTGTTAGACTACGATCGGAAACCTGGAGGCATTGAACGGCGGTTTCGTCCTATTGTGGAGCTCCTCAGCACCCTACATCCACGATTCCAGAGGTCTAGAAGTTAAGCGTTTGCTCACGAGATCAAAGGCCCTGACTTGGAATTCCCTGAGCGGGATTGTGGAAGCGTACTGCTGATGAGTCCCACAATACGACGAAACGGTCATCTAGTGCTTCCAGGTTTTCAATGGTGATCTAACATCAATCGGATCATGTTCTCAATCAAAAAACGTTTTAATCTCCACAACCTCATACTGATAATTCATCATTTCGTTGATTTTTTTATAGCTATAAATGTAAAACAAAATAATGATGAACCGCCAGATTCTACTGTAGCAATCGATTCTTTACAAAAAGTTAAATATGCATTAAATATTATTGAAAAAATTCGTAAATCAGTACCATATATATCAAAAGAAATTTTTGTTTATTTAATAAGAATTGTTCGTAAAGTTCATACAGTTGCAAAATCAAAACAAATTACTAATTACAATCCTAATATTGTAGTTGATGTAATTGAACCATTATTGAATGAAAATACTATTACGTCAATATTTAAATTATTATCAGTTAAAACAAAAGAATTATGGTTAGATCTTGGACCTGCATGGAATACACCAAGGTAGGTAATTTACAAATATACTACTTATATAATTGTGATCAATTCTCTTATGAAATGATTAAACAAAACAATTACCTAGTGATATTTGACTTTCAATGTTTATTTAATTGATATATTAAAGTAATCCTTACATATCACCGAAATTAACGTTATTCATGTCTATCAGTTCTAGTGAGCTATCTGGTATCTCTAGTATCTTGAAGGAACAAATAACGTATGAACCAATTATTGGTCATCGGCTAACATGGGACTGCATCTCCTCACGTTGCTCCACTCTCTTGTGAGTGAGACCTTTGGGTCAAATACCCCGGATGTGGCCCCTAAGAGAACCATCTGCTTCGGTTTGAGCATCATGGCAGTATCATAAACCACACAGAAATCAAATGATTTATGTGGCGCATATGTATTCGGTGCCTCTTTGTACCAATATTTATATACTGAAATAAATAAGTAATAAAAATGACTTAAATATTATCCTTTCTTTTAGTCCAATGGTTGGTAGCATTTCACTTACTAAAACATATTCAGTAATACATTCTCTGTATGATTTAATGAACAAATATATGTGAATTCATGGAAATAGAGCATCCTTCCTTTTTCCAATAATACAATACAGATTTTATGATAGATTAATATAATTTAGAGAATCATTGGAAATCTGAGAGTATTGTAGTGAATGAGAAGACAAGTGGGGACAATCGAATATACTTCAACAGAAAATTACAGTATGTGTTAGTAAAATCTGAGAACGACAGAGTAAATATTTCATTTGCAAAGTGTCAATCAATCGTCTGAGAACTGATTGTTTCTTCATTTCCACATCAATCATTGTCTGCTCTCGTTGTGTTTTCTTTGATATTGATAAGTTTCTGCCACCAGACATCTGACTTCCGATTGATGATATGTACTACTTATATCTATTGACATCAGTAGCACACATCACAGTATGTCTGTGACGCAAACCAAATTTAGGATGCACGACATCTCCACAAAATTGTTCTAAGTAAATAATAATCACAGATTTTTGGAGTTCAAATTGAAAGATGCGGCGTATAAAACGTTCAGCTATATTTCAAGTAGGGAGGTAGATAACAATTGGTTTACAGAAAATATTACATACTTACTTACTTACTTGCGCCTGTTTCTCCTCGTGAAGGAGCATAGGTCGCTCACCAGCACTCTCCATCCAACCCTGTTCTGGGCAGTCCTTTCCAACCTGTAGCTCTTTTAGAATCACTGCCAGTCCCGAGCCTGGGTAAAGGAGGAGGGTTAGGAATGAGGCTAGCGATCCCATCACGTAGAAAACTAACTCGCCAAAAAAATGCTAACCAGAAAAGTAATTCGAACCATTTTTAAAATATGAACAGATGATTTTAAGCTATGTGACTCAATGACCCCGTTATAACCTTTGAAATTCCTGTATTCAAATTTGTGTGAGGTTGTGTGTAATTAGGCTGTCTCAATAAAGAATGAGAAAGATATCCAATACCCCTTGATTTTCGGTGGCTATCTAGCTGTTATTAATTCGGATATTTTCAGATGTATTAAAGTATTTGAGAAATATTCCTGAATCTATGGTCAGCTACTGGATTATAACATTTTTTGATAGCGAAATTTTCGCCACCATAATTCTCTATTTGATCAACAATAAATGATGGACAGAATATGGTTTGTTTTTAAATGATATTAAATTTCACTTCCGAAATCTCTTGATAATATTTCGCATGAATAGAGACACAGTAATTAAGCTAAGTGGTTTAATTATGAATTTTATACTGTCATCCTGAAATACAATATCAGAACCGATCTCAAATTCTCATGGAGCTAATAACCTTAAGTTAATACGTCGGTTGAATTTAGCTCATATATATTATTAAATTATGTCACCTCCTTTTCATTCGTTATGTATATTAAAGATGATATGAGGAATATTCGTGAATAGCTTTTCCTTACTTAATCACTCTGAGTGGACAACTTAGACAGTGGTTTTTACAGTGAACTGACTTCATTTGAGGAACTAATGTAAACCAAGTGGTAAAGAATATCTGTTTTGTCCTTGTTCAAGAATTATCAAAAGTTTTTCCAATGATCACTACATAAAACTGTTATAAAGTTCTTCAGGTATTATGCTGGACAAAATACGTTCATACTATTACGTTAGAAACCGACTGTCTACACCTTTGACTACAGTCAGTGTATAATACGGCTTTGTCTTCATCTGATTTCATTGAGAAATTATTGTCTCATTGTCGATTAGATCATTTCTAAAGTACACCATAAGTTGTTTGGTGGAAATTACTTTTACACTTTACAAAATCTCCATGACAAATGATATTGCTTGATTAAGGTATAAAATGGTCATAATAAAAGTACATTCGCCATTCCTACAGATTTTTTACCATAAATAGTAAAATCTATTACAACAAAAACCAATCAATTTATCTATTCACAATTCATTCACAATTTCTTCCAAGAATTTTATTATTATAACTTCCATTCACTTATTTTTTTCTTCTTTATTTAAGCTCAAAGTGGCCCAATCCATTGAACATTTATATGCCAATATTTTATCATCCATTGAAAAAAAGATCTAGGCATAGATCAAATGAAGTGATTAGTCGAAATCCAGTAGTAGGTATCTGTTGATTATACTATTTTTTGTTTTGTTTTACTATGTTAATATAAATTAGGTCAAATGATACCTTATATTAATACGAATATATAAATTTGTCTAATTTTAATAGGTTAGTAATAATTCGGATAACTTTGATTCAAGAAAAATGATACAAATTTTTAATAATAAGTACCTTCTAACTTAATGTGATTGATTATTACTTAGTCCTCATCAACCATCGAATAAAACTTGTACCATGTGACTTGTTGGAATGAAATGGTGATAATACCCTGTATTTGAACTGGATAAGTAGAGAGTTTTGCGTTGTCAAGGCTTCTAGTGATCATATGTTCTACCGAGTGCGTGGCTGTAAATGTGTTTTGTTACGAAGTTATAAAGTAGAATAATAAAACGATCTAGCATTCATGATTTCACCAGATAATTGACACTTATACTGATAAGTAGGCAGGTAAATGTTTATTTTGTTTCATATATTTTCCTCATTATCTTAATCTATAAAAAGCATTTCTAACTGTTTAATATAATTAAAATTAAATGACTTGGTGCTTAGATTTATTTAATATTTCACTTAATAGTGAAAACTATTCCTAATCAGTTAAAGAAAGACTAAATTTTATGTGTCACCATAGAACCAAGCTTTTTGTTAGTCATTCGAAGATACTGTATAGTAATCATTGAGTTATACTCACTATGTTGATGAACTCTCGAATTAACAACTTCTTAAGAAGCCTTTGGAAATCCATCATGAAGCTAGTCACTGACAATGAAACTTCAATTATTTATGTTAGCTTAGCTGAAGATAGACTAAAGTTGGAAATATGAAGCGTCAAATATGTTGAGGACGTTAGATCCTCAGAACTCACTTGGAAAAGATTCTTATTTTGTAATTTTATTCTGAAAATTTGAATTTTATGTTTTTGCGCCAAGAGACGCTTAGTTGACCTACAGCCTACATTTCCCACTCGGAAATTCTCGACTGTCATCGGTTGACGGATTTTTTCGTACGCTATTTTTTGGCTCTCACAAGGGCGTTTCTATCAGTGTATTAATAAGCTTGATTTGTGTGTTAAGTGACCTCGTATTTTCTGGGTGCTTGTAGAATACTTTCTCTACGCCTCATCAAGATTTTTTGATCTAGTTAGCAGGGCCTGGGACAACATATTAGAATAGCCTATCGTGTCACTGTATCTTTGACCTTCGTTCCGTTTACCAAGTAAGTTGAACTCGTAATAGTATTCAAGCATATCTAAATATAAGGTCAATGTTCTTAAGTTATTGAACTTACATTAAGACATGAGGTTTTTGATTTCAATATTTGTGGAATCGTTGGTGAGTACTTCTGAAGAGTCGTGAACTAATATGAAATATCTATCTATTACTTCCTAGTTGATCGACGGTTTTACAAATGGGGTCAGTTCATAACATATACGATCTTTTAATAAAGCTTATTATCAAAGACTACCAAAAAAAACTGTTAATATACTTTCATTTGATTGACTTAGGCTTCTGTATATTGTCAAAATGTATAAAGCATATTCAATATTAAATAAATGAAGGGTTTAAAAAGCTTGTTTATAAAATACTTAACTAATATGTTACACCATTCAACCATTCACTACAAATCTAATTCGTTATTACAATATGTTTATATGCAGTACATATTGTGTGAACTTAAAAAAAATTTCGTATTTAATTGTCTAGATTTTAGGTTGAGTATAATTGTAGATCATTAAATCGCACTACATCATGTTCTTCTTGAATGCATTCATATACAATTATAATTGAAGTCCAGTTAAGAATACTTATGATCATACTTATCATTTCGGTTAACTAAGAAAGACTCCCATTTCTATGTGTATTCGCTTATATACTTTTCTAAAACACGTCTTGGTTACAGAAATCAAATAGGAATGTGTAAACAATAGGAATTCACTTACAATAACTAGATTGAAGTAGTACTTAATAAATTGTGAATTAAATCTCTCATTATCTAATAGTTCATTATAAATCTGTTTTATCACTTTATGAAAGTAGCTAAAATCACTGATATACAATAAGAAAAAAAAAGCAAAACTTGTAAAACAAATAGGTAACATTAATGATCCTTTTCGATTCCCAAATTTAATTTAAGTTATTCTTTTTATTTCCTCACTTTTTAGTCATAACTACCATAATGAGAATTAGTGACAGAGAGTGATCTATGAGGAACGGATAGAAAAATCGATTCTTCTAACATTTCAAGATCTTGCATAGATCAATCAATCTATAGTAGATAAATAAATTTTTCAAGTTAAAACAAGTTTTATCATCATAAAAGTTGGATAAATTAAATTATATATCCAAACATGTCTAGACATGTAATTATTGTTTACTTAAAATTGATGAATATCTTGTGTATGCATGTTATCGTGAATAAATATATGAATTACAGTGTAATAAGACGATACAATTTCCATATATGTTTACAACATGATTATTAATAGGGGACATAAGACATGTTTGATTGATTAGTTATGATTTTTTGGCAACGGTAAGATTTCTCTATAGAAGTACTTTTTTTTTTAAATATTTTCAAAACTTGTAGAATTTGGAACCACTGTAACGACAGTACTAAGAATTTATTATGTATAGCCTAAATGTATTTTAACCCATAATAAGATATCATTTGCTCTTCAAATATAAAAGTACATTATCATTAACATTATAATCTAATGTGTTATGTTGAAATGAAAAGAATTTTATTTTTCATTCTAATTAAAACCTTCTAAAGCGTAAGCGATGTCACTGTAGGTGACTTTAATTCTGTGTTGTTTAAGCATTCGTCGTAGTTCTATTGTATTGGTTTAATGATGAAGTAAAATAACACCGACTATTCATGAGTGTTCTTTTAGAGTTTTTTTTTCAGTTGAAGATATACTTTTGTATTTCAAAACGTTTTGAATAAAATTTATTCAAACAGTAATAAATACCAAGATACTTGTTTCATTCAATTCATTGTGTTGAAACCTGATCCTAAAGTTTAGTACTTCATTTGTAGAAAAATATTATTTTGGGATAATATTCAGTAATTTGGTAGAGTTGGTTGGTAACTTACAGTAAAATATAGACGTGCATTTCATCTTCCGGATTTACTTGTATTCCAGTGTTAATGCTCACATTAAGAGTCTAACCCAGTACCTTTGGTTTAAAATACCCAAAGCGTCAACCATTAAGCTAGTGATATTTTATAACTACTAGCTTGTGTACAAGGCATTGATATTATTTACATAAATTAGTGTTTGTGGGTTGTTGATGTTAAGGGCTACAGCTAGTTACTAATTTTTGGCGTATTTTCATTATGAAATAGTAAATTCTGCTGAAAAGTCCCAAATAAGATAAAGACAAATCCCAGAATCTGTTGCTCTCTACTACTAGCAATACAAAGGCAATCAGCTCAAGATGACTATATACTAAAAGAGGTTGATCAATTGCAATTATTAATATCAACGACGAGAATAAAACAAACCAATATAAATATTTAATATTGTTTATTATGTGAAACACTTTTGCTGTTAAACACTTTTTATCAGTGAATTCACATGCTTACATAACTAGCCATCTTAATCATTTTTATAATCTACGTGTTGTATATATATATGTGCTTGCAAAAACATAATGATATATATTCAGTAATTACTTAAATTAAAGTAGTTTAATATCAGATGGGTTTTTGTGGAGATTGTAGTAATTTCAATGGTTAAGATCATGAGTCAGTTGAGGCTAGACCACCATGGAAAACCTGGAAGCACTGGACGGCCGTTTCGTCCTGTTGTGGGACTCCTCAGCAGTGCGCATCCACGACCTCGCCTCCTGCGAGACTCGAACCCAGGACCTACTGGTTTCGAGGCCCGAGCACTTAACCACTAGACCACTAAGCCGGCATCCAACGGTGTTAATGTCTAACTTCAACTAATCCACGAAATTGAGCGACACATCCACCATTGTCATCAGTGAGCAGATATCTCACAACAGACCTGGTTGAACTCCACTGGCCACTACTTCTCACTAGAGTCTCACAATAGAACGAAACGGCCGTCCACTGCTTCCAGGTTTTCCATGGTGGTCTAACTTCAATTGACTCATGATCTTAACCATTAAAGTAGTTTACTTAAACAAGATACTAAGACATTATGAGTTTGATCGAAGAAAATGAGACTATTTTTAGTGAAGAACAACGTGTAATAAAATATTTGTCTTTTATTTTTTTAATAGAGATTAATAGATTGTCTCAGTGTTATATTGATTTTTTCAATTAGAATCAATCATATAGTCGTGACTAAGCAATATATATATCAGTTTTCTCCTTAGCCATTCTGGAATTTCAGTGAAATCACTAGCCAGTCTAAGTTAGATAATCATTAAAGATCTGATCTGGAAATATCAGAAATTAGATAGACTGATAAGTGATGTTTGTTGAAATTTGTGTACCATGAAATAATGTTATTGGAAATGTTACATTACGACGTGTGCAAGTATATATAATTGAAGTCCTACTCACTACCTTCTCGCACCACGGGTGTTGTCTACGAAATTGAGAGGACGAAAAACTAATGTCCGGCGCTTTACCCGAGTTGATGAGTATGAAGGATCCACCTAGGGGAAATGGAAAACCCTGATTCAAAACCAATGGGGCAGATGCACTACAGTATCTTGAAGGAACAAATAGCGTATGAATCAGTTATTGGTCACCGGCTACCATGAAACTGCATCTTCTGACGTTGCTCCATTACCTTGTGGATCAGACCTTCAGGTCAAAGGCTCAAGGTATAGCCCCCTAAGAGAACCATCTGCTTCTGTTTGGGCACCCGGGCAGTATCACAGCCCACATACAAATCAAGTGACTTGTGTGGTGCATATGTATTTGCTGCCCGTTTGTACTGATATTTATGTATTCAAATAAATAAATAAAACTGATAAACAAAATGAAACCTTACCGTGTAAGACAGCTTTTGTCACGAAGCGATGTTAGCAAAAGCTTTTGAAAACCAGGAAGCACTGGATAAGTTTATTTTCCTAGTTTGGGACTATCTAAGGACTCATACTGACGGCTTCATGCTGGATTAAATTCAAGAGTTAAATGCCACTGAATCAACGACTTTGTATCTTTAAGTTCAGTTAAAGTGTAATATGAAAATTCGACCATTTACTTTTATCAATGAGTTATTCTTCTTCTTTTGCTCACAGTGAATTCATAAAACACAGTAATTAGAAAAAGACGTTTTAGAAACTTAAAATAAGCTACTACTAATCACTTGTTTATTATTTACTAAAGCAACTGTATGTAATCAACCAAGTTATTAGTGAAACAGTTATATTTAACAACAACGTTTTATTGGAGTTAAAACTATAAACTTACGAATATTAACTTATTATCTCTGCAGTATAGTGTTACCTAGGAGATGTGAATGTCCCAGTTTCTATCCTGTTCAAGGTTATCAGTCGTAAGTACTGAAAAGTCTCAATCTTAGATCCAGGATGTTGTCCAATGCACTCTAATTTAAACTGTTTCTTCAAATGACAATGGTTTATTGTGTAGATTTTATTTCAATTGCACAAACCCATCATGGTGAAATTATTTACTTTTATTTTATTTCACAAAGTTTAATCTTTCATTATTTTAAATCTAACCATAAACAATTAAAACTAGTATTTTTTTCTTTATGTGCATATTTCAGTTTAATCCACGAATAGTTCTGAAAGGAGCATCAGAAATCAATGATGAATATGAACCACGTTTTCATGGTATGTTCTGGTTTGTTCTCCTTTTTTTCTTCTTTTCAGAGGCAGGATTTAAAGTTATTTTGTTTTTTTCCTAAAAAATACCAACTTATAATAAGGAGTGAACGATTAAGGTGACTGATTCCTGAGATGGTGGAGAAGATTTTTAGCTCAGGTCGATGATTTCTCGGCGGAGTTTTGTTCTCTGAGCTAGATGGTTTGGTTAGTGATTGATTTCTTTTTTTCGAAATTATTTTAATATGATACAATAATAAGATGGTAGAGATTTGTAGCTCAGGTGGATAATTTTGATGGAACAAAACTACATAAAAAACAATACAATAATGTTATCATTTTCATAGAAACCAATTCCTTGATTAAAGTTAAACAAAGTAGGAAGAAAAAAGGCTGCTTCCGAGAATAAAATGAATTCATTCTATTTTATGAATTCACTTCATTTACAAAACAACCAAAATTATAAGAAGTAATACAAATACACATAGAAGTACAACATGCTTTAGTAAAATGAAGGAAAGGAAACATCAGAGCATAAAATATAGGATTAAACAAAGTTAAAACCGATGCATGTTTAAATTTTAAAAATAAAAAAGAAAATAGACATTAACACCGTTGGATGCCGGCTCAGTGGTCTAATAGTTAAGTGCTCGCGCGCGAAGCCAGTAGGTCCTGGTTTCGAATCCCGCGGGGTGCGGGATCGTGGATGCGCACTGCTGAGGAGTACCATACTAGGACGAAACGGCCGTCCAGTGCTTCCAGGTTTTCCATGGTGGTCTAGCTTCAACTGACTCATGATTTCAATCTGTGAAAATTTCTAAAATCTCCACAAACCCCTTCTGATAAAAAAAGAAGAATAAAAAGATTACATAATAACAATGAAAATAATAATTGACTGTATCATTTCATTGAAATCATTTTAATTATTTACTTTAAAACATAGATATTGGTACGAAGGGGCACCAAATACATATGCGCCATACAAGTCACTTGATTTGTGTGTGGGCCATGATACTGCCTAGGTGCCCAAACCAAAGCAGGTGGTTCTCATAGGTGGCAAAACCCGGAGCCTTCGACCTGAAGGTCTGATCCACAAAGTAATGGAGCAACGTCAGGAGATGCAGGTCCCTGGTAGCCAGTGACCAATAATTGGTTCATACGACACTTGTTCCCTCAGGGTACTGGAGCCCATGTACCCTTTTGGTTTGGAATGAGGGTTTCGCAACTCCCCTAGGTGAACTATCCATGTTCACCAACCCGGTTAAAGCGCCGGACATTAGTTTTTCGTCCTCTCAATTTCGTAGACAACACCCGTGGTGCGAGAAGGTAGTGAGTAGGACTTCCCTGGCAGAGGGCATTTCGAGAGAGAGAGCTGACTCTCCCCATTCTCGGCCGTACCAGGGCATTTGGGAGCATTGAAATCATGGAGAAATATAAGCTGAACAATGATTGATGACCTGGAAGTACTAGTTAGTTACTTCGTTTTAATATACACATCTTGGAAGTACACACCCAAAACAAATCATGTCGGTGTCCACAATCCGTATACTGATAATAATCATATGCTTATTAGTGAAGATCTTCA